AGAGGGTGAAGATAAACCTTACTGGATTTGGTATGATAAGCATCTTTTACAGTGACTTTAGTATTTTCTCTTACACTTGCATTTGACAAGCACTTTTTAATGGGCACTGCTTCACTATTATACACACAGAGAATTCTTGTTTTCTACAGGAATGTTATAGCTTGTTATTTTACTATTTATTTTTTCCAGGGACACTGATTATTTGCTGAAGTTTTCCAACAATTCAAATCAGTGGTCTATATACTTCAGGAAATGGGTGATAAGTCCAGGGTATTTTTAAGTTAATTGAGTATTTAACAATACTTCTGGAGAAAAACATGCCTTCCATAGCAGTGCAGACACTTGCTGCTAAAAACAAAATACTGGCAGCCCTCAATAACCTCACCTCTGAATTGTCTGAAACACTGCTCACAGTTGTAAAGAAGTTGTAACCTTGATGCTGGAACTGAACCAATTCACAAGTGTTACCTGAATATACTGAGTAATGGATGAAATTGAGGCAACAGCTGAAAGCTTTGCTCTCAGCTTTGATGCCATAATTTCTGCAGTATTAAGCATGAATGTCCCTAATTTTACTCAGCAGAAGAATGCAGATCATTCAGTAGTGATCAACCTATTCAACTCAGTGCATCATCTGGGATGGAATGAAGTAAAATTTTGAACTGCACTAGAGTTTTATAATAAATCACAGCACAGTTTCCCACGTGGCAAGAAAAAACTGCCAGCAAATTTTAATAACAAAGCATTGATCTGAAAATCAAGTGTAGCACTTACTTATCGAACTCCTTCCACACCTTGATTTCTGTACTCTCTTCTTTGTTTTCCTGAACAGGTAGCTGAAGTGGCAAAAGAAGTTTTTTTCTTACACCTGGCAGTGACTTTAAATATGAAGAAAAGAAAGACCGTAGAGGCTTCAAACTGCATATAAATGGACAAAGTAAAGATTACTTTTAATCTCAGACTGAGTGAATATCCAAAGCAAATTAATATATTTATAAGATATTCACTTTGATTTCTGTTTTACAGTCCTACTGCAGCATGTTACGTTTTGATACAAAGTGAAATGAAACAATGTTCAATTTAGGAATAGTAACAACAATAATTTGGATTAGTGGCTTGAAATTCCATTCAAAGTAAGAACACATCATGTTCATCAAAATGTCAGTTTGCCTTACACAGGTAACGTTTACATGGAACAAGTATTTTGACTTAGAAGCAAGTTTTTTTAAGGCTTTAATGCTTCATTAATTTTTTTTTCCACTTTTATTCCAAAGTGTTTTCCTCTCAGAAGTATCACAGTAATATGTTAAAGCTACAAATAGGCAATAGCGGTAAGCAAAAGTAGTATTAGGTCTCTTATTATTAATACAGGTAACACACAACTTCAGTCAATACAATGTTATTGATTACCTCCCAGAACACAATGCCATTATATGTATACAAAAGAAGGTTATAGAGTAACTTGCTTTGTATGAAAGGAAGCTATGGAAACTGTTTTTATAGCTTAAGTGAACCTCCCCATATTCCTCAGACATATAACTACTTACATGTTAATTAATCCATGGGACCCATTTGGATGCATCAGATAGCATGCAGGGACTGAGGTAATACCAAGTTTCTCAAGAAAAGGCTTATCAAAATTCAACACTCTCTTTACAATGATGTTTTCATACTGGACCAAGTCTAAGATAACCTGGGTAATGAAAAGATGACATGAATTATACATTGTTCAAGGAATATCCAATCTTGTAGGACAAGACATATAAATAGGTGAAGTGCATCAGCCTTTAAGGGCATCATTAAGCTGTTCACAAGGAAGTACAACTATGAGTATTCTGGGGACACTAACAATTTCAGTTAAAGAAGATTTACTTTTCTCTGGAAATTATTACTCCTATCTTCCATTTTTTTCTTGGTCTATCCTGATCCCTTTGAAGTCTGACATCTGAAGAAAACATAAGAATGAATGATAAAATGTCCTCATAAGCCTCAAAATAGCCCAGATGATGTTCCACAGGCACCAACAGGTTTATGTCTCATGCTATCTGTGTAAGAGTCTAAAGGCAAATTTTCAGGTAGTGAGGAAACATTGGTCCCACCACTTTACTGCATTCTGATGTCAAAGTCCATGACCTGGAAAACAATTAAGGGCTCTACAGGAGTTAATGCTTTGCCAAATCAAGCCATGTAGTCTGTGGTGTTACAGCACCCAGCTGTCCGTTCAGCTCTTTTTGTTTACGAATCCCACAGCAGAGATTCCATATAGGGATGGGTGCCTATATCTCAAGAGTTCCAGTTCACAGCCCAGCATCTTAGCTCAAACCAATTTTCATCAGCTGTTTAAACCTGATGCTGGGCATTTGCACTACAGCAGCTGGGAGTGGACACAAATTTCTTTGCAAGGTATAAATTTCAGTGAAGGGTGGAGCAGCCAGAAGAGGGTGGTAACATCAGGATGCCTTATATTTCGACTTGTCATTCATTTACTTTTACCCCTTTCTGCCTCTTCTGTATCTTTTTCCTGTTGTTAGTTTCACAGTTTCCACTATACTTTTCCCTTTCAGGTGAATATTATCTTTGCTACATTCTCCCTCACTTTCAAACTTGTAATTTAAAAGACCCTTCCTTCCTTCCTTTCATCAGTGATAAATGCATGGCCTTCCTTTCTTCTATTAGGTGAGTTCTATTAGGTTTGTCTACATTGTCTTATACTGTAAGCTTGAAAACAATGCTATTTTCTACTTCACTAAATTATTCTATAAAGCTAAAATACTACATAACATCAGCAAATATTTTTTCTTCTGAAAGCAGACTCCATTCTCTGTTAATCAGATGACACTTATCACAGCAGGTAATAAAATTAAAGCGAGTGTGATAAAAAGCTGAAGAACTTTATAATCATCACATTTCTTCTCTTCAGTAATGCCCACCTGTATCAACACAGCAGCTTCCAGAAAACAAATGTCTGGAAGCAGCCTGCTTCTCAAAGTGATTCTCACTTTTGGCAGCACACTCTCCTCCACTTATGCAACTGGGCCATGTCACCATCAAATCTAATTAGAAACATTTCATAGACATTGGATGTCTCTACACAGATTATGCCTAGATAATAATGCAATTTATTTTCTTTACTTATCCCAGATCTTGGCAGGAAGAGAAAAGTAACAGTTGTCTAAGCTAACATCAGGCTCATTAGGTGGTGAAATGATGCCAAATCAAATATTTTATTGGGGGGGTGGGAGAAGCAAAAAACCCAGACTTCCACTTCCTCAGAGCTATGAAAATAATTTTATGCTATTACCTTAATTTAGAACATAATTTCCTAAAATGTATACGTGAAAAAAGAGAAACAGAGAATTCAGATTATTGTAAACAGCTGAAATTACAAAAACTGCCCAGAAGAATGAATATTATGAATGGTTCTCTAGCAGTAACAAAACAATAACATAATCTGACAATAATTTCATTGTCATCTTCCAAATTTTGAAAGAAAAAAGAATTGTGCTAACAATGAAATTAATAAATTAATCTTCCACTAAAAGGTGAACGGAAGAAGTTAACATGACATCATGTTCATTTGTAAGCAAGTTCCTTTGTGTGACTAAATACAACAGCCCTACATAATCCCTTGTCTTTGCAGTATCTCAAATATGCATGACCTGCCCTTTATGACCCTTTAATTCAGTCCTACAATCAGAAATTTTGTTGTTTGGCTAAATAACATAAAATTCAGCTGTGTTATGAATGACATAATGAATATGAATGAAAGTTATCATAAGTCATACATTACCTCTCGTCCAACATAGGAGTTATTACTTTCAAACACAACGGCAGTATAATGATGGCTGTTCTTGTCAAAAAGGGAGGTAATATCACTGGACCTTTTAAGAAAAGAAAAGCTATTTAGCACAGGTGGAATGCCCACTGTTATTGATGGAATTTCCTTTTACAATCTTGTAGCAGAACTGACATTAAGAAAAAAGCTTACTTCACCTTTAATAGGATCTTCTACATCTTATTTAATTAACTTAGTAGGCATGGAGCAGCTGTATTTTAAACAAGGAACTTACGAAACTGGATCCAATGGTGGGCAAGCAGGCGGCCTCAACTCTTGGGAATGGTTCTGCAAGAAGTCAATCATCATCTGACGAACTGTTTGCAGCTCTCGATCTGCTCCTGCTGAGTACAGGTTACAAAAAAACCACAACACTTCAGAAAACTGAGGGGAAAAAAAAAAAATCACTCACATCCAGGTTTTCATACATTCTCACGCTTTTCTATGTCAGGTTTTTGTTTTAAATTTTGACTTAAAAACCAAAATACTATTTGTTTGAAGAACAGGGACTAAAGATTTAGTTATAGGATTTCATTTTAATGTCGAGATGAGATCATATTTAAAAGCTGTCATCCCACCCCAAAATTAATAAAACCTCAAGACTTTTACAAATCTAACCATCTGCCTGCCTTGCTCATTTTCTCTTCAAACAATGCTTCATTCTAAATCTGTGCTCATTTTCAGAACAGTTGGTGTGGGCAACTTCAGTGGAGTTTTTGCAATAAGGACATTCATGATACATTAAAAACTGCAAAGGTGGATGGTTCTTACCAATTGGACCAGGTGAGGTTACACAGCCACTTAATTTGGGGAAATAACTGAAGTGAGAGAGTATTTTATTTGCTTTAAAAGAAATAAATTAAGAAGCAGAAACTCTCACAAATGCCAAAAACTAACAGGTACAACTATGGTCTGCTTCTACATGAAGGGTTAATGGTGCAGGTGGTCTCTCTTCTGACCTCTGGCCTTTTAAATGTTAATCCATTGAAAAAGACAACATTACTTTTGTCCCTAGACAAACCACCTCAAGCTGTGATCCCCTCAGACACACAGGGTAAGCCTGCTTTCAGTTAGTCAACATCTGAATAGGGGTTCTCCCAGAGAGATTCAAGATGCGTGGAAAGTGGTTGACAGATCAAAAAGCACCAGAGTCAGGACAGAGTAAATTGGATCTTATGCTGATGAGGCGTGTGGTGGGAAAAAAGGAATTTAAAAAAATTATCCATCCACTTGTGAAAATCCAGAACATTTCAAAAAAATGAGGATTGTGAGCCCTAAGTTCTTGAATAAATGTTTTGCCTGTCTAAAATTCTGCCTCATACTCCATTTTCATTCAGCATTTGTAACATCGTATCTTGAAGAGCTATTTAACGTCCATCCCATTTCTAGCTGTTTAAAGTAATTGACAGGCAAAGGGATTTTGCTTATCGTGTGTCACTTTCCTGGCTGATAGGATATCTGCTTTGGGGATTTCTTACAGTAGGATATTCTTACCTTTGTAATTTTCTCCTGTAGTAAACTGCTTTGTAAACGCTTTGAAGTACTACGTGGGAGAAAAAAACAGTATTATTACTTTGAAAATAACTCACTGTATCAGAGCAAAGCTCAGTTTAGAAACAAAAACAGCTTTCAAGAGTTTTTACTTTTTACAGCTCTAATTACAAGACATTTTTATCTATCTGTTCAGAAGACAGTTTTCCCTCTTAGCCTGAGTTCCAAAGATCTGCTTCTCAACTATATGAGGGTAGCTCATATGTACCAGTCAACATTGATATACAATAAAGCCAACTTTTAGAGGAAAAATACCATAATGCATGATTCACTACTGTATATCGATCCACTACTGCAAACACTAACCCAAACACAAATTAACTGATTACCAAATCAGTACTACTAACTGTGTATATACTTAGAACACTATTCACATTTTCTCAACTCCCTCCAGTGGTTAAACAGGATATATAAGGGAGCTTGACTGCCTTCTGCTACCAAAAAATAGAAAAGATTCAGTGTCTAATAAAGAGTGCATTCCAATTTACACCCAAAACTTTAAAGATTTTTTTAAAACAATAATTGTTTTCATCAGGGTAGAACATCACAAATTCTACAGTGAAATGTCTCCTGTTCCCTTTCCTGTCATAACAAACACAGTTAATTCAATCCTCTCGATCCATCACACTGTGCTCATACTTATGGTTAATAAGGTGACTCTACAGATTGACAGAGAAATTAAAAATTGCACTTAGACCTGAAAATGAACAACGGTAGATACTTTTGGCAAACACAAGATCCCTTTTAAAAGCCAGTTGAAGCAAATTATGAAATTAATTAGAAAAATAGTGAAGGATCAAAGGTAAATTTTTAATTGGTCATGAAAGCAGCTGATTTCATGACGCAATTTCAATGTATTACTTTTATTTTCACATACCAAAACTAAAAACACTATTAATAATCATGAGCATTTGATTTTGAAAAATATTTATACAAATTGTTATTATCTAACAAACATATTAAAACTAGGCATTATATAAATGTAACAACATAGTACTTTCTAGAATGGTAGGCTCTTTCAATAAGAATTTTTCAGATTCAGAACTGAGGACTGAATCACTGCTATAAACAACTGCATCAGCTACTGCATTCAGCAGAAGAACCTGAATTAATCTTTTATCAATGCCACAGTTTTCTCAGAAAAAGCAAAGTAAAAGTCCAGCTGTAGAACAACTAGTTACATGTAACATTCTGCACAAGCGTGTTCGTTACAGTTTTAGTTACTGTAGAGCATGCATCATTTACCTAAGGCAATACATTATGCCACTTACCCTAAAAGTTGGGTAATAGTGAATACCATATTCTTTGCACGTCTCGTAGTTCTCTTCTTCCCCACAATCCAGCACGCCAACTCTAATTGCAGATTCCCAATCTGAAAACAAAGATATTTTTCAATTTTCAGCAGAAGTGATCACAGATCCCAGCTGATGGATTAACCTGCTTCCCATGGAAACCAACAACAGAACTCCGATAGATTCCAATGGCATAAAAATCAAGCCCTCGGTCGATTCTCATTTGGTATTCATTTCTATCCTCAAGCGTAATACAATCTATCGATTTTTAAAATACCTAAAACCTCCCTGTTTTTCTTAGCTGCATCAGTATTTTCAATACACCTAAACAAGAAGAATCCCAACACACAATGTAGCAGTTCCAGGGCCGAAGACATTTTACTGACGCCAGGAAGATGAAATAGGGGCCAATCCAACACTTGCAAGTTACCGGATTGTATTCCCTAGCTTTTCCCATTAGCTAAACTCATAAAATAAAGCATGCAGAATATATATACCTGAATAAAATTAATCCAACAGTTATTCCTCCACATGGCTGTCAATTACAAAACCACAAATTCGATGCGTCTTGTATTATAGCTGTTTTGACAAGGACTCCCTATTTACTGAACTTATTATTTTCTCAGAAGCCTCCAGAATTGCACACAACCTATGGCTCCCATATTGTCTACTGAAAGCTGTCTTTACCTTTTAGTACTGTTCAGGAATACATTAGGTATACCTCAAATAATATCTGAGTTTTAACCAGAGTGCTAAATAGTGGAGTTTGAACATCCCTGTCAGTTTGCTTTATAAATGTTTCATAGCAATAACCACAAGAGTTCAAGTATTTCTATAAATATATAACTTCAATAAAAGCTTTCAACTCATTTATAGCTTTTTCCTTCTCATTTTGCTAGGAACTTATCTTTTTGAGCCATGCTGTGCTGCAGCAATCCCTTTAAGGAAGAACCGCTCCAAGAGACTCCTTAGACAGTTACTTTTTAAAGCTAAGCTAAATCAAAACAGCTGTGGGCAGAATTTGAAGGTACACCACAATTCCCAAGTATCAATAAAATTTAAAAAGCACTAAAATTAAACTTGCTTTTATAGCAAAGAGCATGAAAGCTTCATCAAGTTCAAGATCCGATCGACAGTTACACGCCTAGCTTCTTTCGAAATTTAGCTTGACCTTTATTTGTCTTTGGAGAAGGATGGGGCAGCCGATGGAGAATTTCAGTTGCGCTGAACATGCCAACAGCTGAACAGGCACCAGGAGTAACTACACGCATGCTAGAGCAGATGGGCATGTATTCACAGGAGCACAAAAGCTACAACAGTCTATTTCATCACATAAAATGCAAAATATAAAAAAAAAAAGTTTGGCTTCTGGGTATCTATCTCATTCAACTTTCACCACTCCTCCTCTTTTTTCCACCTGTCTTGATCCTCCTGCACACAATGAATAGAAGCTCTATAAACCTAATGCAAATAGCCTACTCACAACAATGCCAACCCATCTCCAGCTAAACACTTGGGTTAAAGAGCACCAGCTGGGATGTGGGCTGCTTAGCATTTGCTTAAGAAGGAGCTTTTCCTTTCTAAAGGATGCGAAAGTTGCTGGAGTGCAGAGCCTAGACTGTTTAAGTTTACAGTGGCACTGCAGCCTGGATTGTTTGTTTTTGGGTTGTTTTTTTTTAAATGCTGACAAATTTTAAATTAGCATTAGTACTTTTGAAATATTAACTCACAAACTATGTGAAAGGGGTAGATGAGCGTTATCATATTAACCAACACTACTTCTGTTTATGCTAAACAAGTTCCAGTGAATGACATGAATGTATTGGACAAACTGGAAAGCCAGCAGGTTGGTCAAACGTCCCACTTAAGAAGTGCCACAGAATACCAACACCCCAGTCACAGCATATTACGAAGAAGATACTTTCTTTGCATAAACCTTGTGTATAGATGCAATGCCGCATATTATTGTTCGTAATGAATTTTCAGTCAGAGAGATAAGAGATGCATCACAAGGAACCTTTCCCTGCATGCTACTCGAGAGTTACGTATTTTAACACATAGACTGCTTCCTGAACAATGACGAGGTTTCTGCAGTTCCCCAATAAATGCATTTAAAGAACAATTTCTAGAAGGAAGTTGTTATTGCTAGATTTGGAACAACAGTAGCTAGATTTGGAACAATCCAATCCAGGGGACTGGATTGCTTCTGCATATAAATCATGGGTTGTCGTAGATGGGATTTCCAAAGGTCTGTTACTTCTACACAGAAAATTACTACACATAATTCCAGCCCACAGGCATTTTCGTGGATTAGATTCAATCACCTTTTAAGACAGAAAAAGTACAATTAACTATAACGGCCACTTTGGGCACTACTGTAATAAAACTAAATGTGCGATTAGGCATGCAGCAACAATGCCTCTAAGCTTAAAGCCTGTTCTGAGAAGAGAGGGAGTATCAAACTCAAAACGTAAATTACACAAAAGCAAGCGCTGCTCCTATTTTTCTGGACGATTATGTTCTGCTATGAAGTTTGCAATGATAGTATTGCCAAGATTTAACAAATGAGCAATTAAATAAAATTTAAGTATATTAGCACAAGCCTTTTATGGATGAAGTGGTTGCACTGATTTAACTGGACTATACCAAATTAGCAAATACAACCACGGTGATCTTGGAGTTCTCTAATGTAGACGAGTCTGCTTCCTCGAAGATAGCTGTAATATCCTAGCAGAGGAGTAAATATTTTTGAAAAATAAACATTGAGACAGCTTAAGTGAGCAAAATGTTTTTGAGGGGGTTTTTTTTGGATGAAGCTACCAACAAAAAGTGTGACTGTTCTTACCAAAATCCATTCATTCCAACTTTAAAATGGAAACATTTTGCTGACAAATAAAACCAGAAGACAGTTGTGTTTGCTGGTAGTGTCAATGCCCTCAAACATAAAAATCCACTTTTTAGATGAAAGTCTTCATAAAAACTCAATGGATTAAAGAGCAGACAGGCCTTTAACTGGTTATAGTAATACAAGTGCGTAACACCATTTGCAGTTACCATGACTGAAGATGAGAAAGAAAATATATATTTGAAGAAGTCATTACAAGTTACAAAAAATATTGCCTACAAAGGTATCATGCTGCTGCAAAGGTATCATACTGCACCTACATTTCATGTTAACTGTTAACACTTTTCACATACAAGGCTGCCAGAGAAAAGCCAGAGCTCTTCATTCCCTCTCAAACTGAAATCATGCGAATGCATCAGAACTGCTGCCTCCATCCTGGAAACGTCTCTTGGTTGAAATGCTAAATTAAGAGTAGTTTAAAAGCCTTTAACACCACTATGTTAAGCATAACATTTCCTACAAATTCGATCTCAGGTCTTCTCCCCACCAGAGGTACTGGTTTTAACTGAAACCTGAGGGGCCTGTTTGTTTCCTTACCTTAGATCTACAAATAGAGTAAAACACTTCAGTATCTGCCAAAAAAACCTGAGCTGACTAAGATACAGCAAGGCAGGTCTCCCTCAGTATAAATCACGAAGGCCACGATTTCTTTTTAAGTCACTATTTGAAAAATCCGAAAATCTCTCACTTAGCTTGAATTTTGTATTATTTCCTGTCGGCCCTTTTCCACCTTCCCGTCCATTCACGCTATATTGAAGTTGCAAGATATACATGAAACAGACACATGGCCTCTCCAGTAGCACAGTATTTATTTTTCGTTTAGGCTCCAAAACAGGCTAATCTCTTTACAAAACATTCAGAAGATACAGATCTTGCCTCAGAGAGTTTAGTCTAAACATACCTCTTGTGCCTCAACGCACCCACTTGCACACTGCAACGCACGCAGAGACGCCTGCACGTAAATCCGCAGCGGGATGGCTGCGTGTGTGTGAGAAGTGGTGATGTTTTATCCCTGGATTCCTATGAAGCCTTTAATTTGGACACTTGCTACCAGCACCCACGCCTCACTTTGTCCTGTGTGCCATTCTGGCAGCATGGCGAGGGCCGTGCCCACCACCAGAGAAGAAGAGGGGTGATGCTCACGCACCGAGGCACCG